CTAGAACAACAATTAAAGGCATTAAATAATAATAATAATTGTTCAAAACTTACTCATATAAATATGAAATGCTTTAAAAATATAACAGTGTCTAAACACTACCTTTTGTTAGAACATCTACATTACCAACATAATAGTTTTAAATTCTAAAAAATGCAACCACAACAATGATATTACTAACTTAATAGAACCATAAATTTTTAGTTGACAACAACTGTTACTCAAAAATACTGAAGTATTAGAAACATTTAAGTTTCGGGTCCATTTATTAAACTAAATATATGGACCCGAAAATAAAATCAATTTATTTTCGAGAATGACATTTTCGTCACAAACATAAACACATACAAAATAAAATGGAATTTCTTTTTCAAGGAACTTAACCAATAATAAGGAATATTTAAAGACAATTATTAACAATAATAAAATTAAAACAAGATAATAATTAATTATTGTTTAGCAACAACTTCGTCATGTATGTTATGTAGGCGACAACGCGTCAAATTACCACAAAACGTCGAATTACAATCGATTTTGAATTTTAATGTCAGTCTTCTTCTTCTTCTTTTATTAAGGGCTTATCTGCGCATTTCGCACAATTCTGCCAATGTCAAGTGAATAAATTAATTTCTACATGTAAAATGAAAATGAAATGAATGAAAGATGACGATGTTTCATAAGGATGATTGTAGAAATTTGACAGTTATGGATAATTTGACGCGCTGTAATTAATATAAAAAATAATTAGATTATCAGTTATCTATCACTAAAGAACTCCGTAAATAAAAAAAAAATTGTTTTCTTATACAGATGGATTGCAATTGAAATGTAAGCTAACAGAATAATAAAAAAATATCCTTGGGTTTAGATAATTCTAATATTAATCATCCAGTTGCACATTCGTGCATTAAAATTGTCATTAGTTTCAAGCATCATTACCGTAACAAATGTATAACATTTATTAAAGCTTAAAGTCAATATTAAACTTTAATGGATGTTTGTGTAACTTGCTGTCTAGCTTAGTTACACTAGCAGTGTTTGACCAAAGGCTTTTACAAAATCGTTCTTCTTAGTAAACAAGACTTCTTACACTCATATCTATAGTCGAGAGAAGTAAGTACTTGAGAAAATGCAAATATTTTAACCAATAAGCGAGAATATGAATAAAGTAAGAACTGTAAATAGCTAATAATAATAATATTCTAACTTTTGAGAGTAATTACTTCATTCAAATTCTTGTTTATTTTATTTTTCCGAGAGTTTTTGTTTTGTTTATTGTCACTTTAGAAACTAATGGTAAGAAGCAAATTAATTCACTACTGGCTTGGGACCGACCCAGCACTGCAAGTAAATCAGTAAATATGTACAAAAGTACGTATAATTTTGTATCAATAGTGCGATTAAACTAAGTTTCTGAGTTGAGTTCCAAGTTCATTCGCTAAGGCATAATTCATATTAAGACACAATAAATTCAGACTAATCATTCAGTAACTAATGCAACCCATCTTGATTTCTAAATTTAATTAAAAATAACAGAAAACAACAATAAACATTCTTATAAGGGAATTCGTATGTTGATATTTGTTCAACAGACAGACAATTGTAAAACGATATCATATCGTCTAAAATCTATATCACTAAAAATTATATAACCATTTACACTAGTAAAGCATCTTTGGGCGTGTTTGATATTCAGCATTAAAGATGAAATATATTCATCTACTATAATAATAATACCTACTATATCATGTGCAATGTATAAAATACTCCAAGTCAAATGATATGATTATATATTTTAATCTAAAGTTTCTTGCAAAGATCAACCACTTGATGCAAGGTCTGCTGAACTTTTTGGTTTTATCATTCACCTACATACAAAACCTAGATCTTAACACGATCTCATAAAGTACATTATCCCAATAAATTATTAACAGACCGCGCGCACATCTCACTCAAGCCATAATAGCCTTCACTTAACATTAGTAAGCCAACGTGAACTTACGTGCTTAATCGCACATCAGGCACTAAAATTTAGTAAGTAGTAAAAAACAGCATTAGACATATTTATCTTATCACTCGATTGAATGAGAAATTAATGGAATAGAGTCTAGACTATGTCATAAAAAGAAGAATATTTGAAAGATACAGAAACCGTGGCGTGCGCAGTAACTGCTGTTATTCATACAGTTAATAACAATAGACCTAGTCTTGGCAATCTGAAGTAAGCTACTATCAGATTAAAGGTTAATATTGATTAAAGAAATTTGTCCTTTACTAATAAACGTCGGACTGTCGAGTGTACCACCTTAACATGTCGACTAATATCGAATCAACTCCTTACTTGTATATTAAATGTAAATCAATCAGTATCAAAATAAATACGTCTAAGCATTGGTTTCAATTCTGTGGCACACCCCCAACATTATTTTATCCTTGTTCTATGCATATGGACAGTAAGAGAGGTAATGTGGTTAGAGTATGTACAACAGAATCAAGCTCATTATTGATTTATATCTAAGTTTTTGAAGTATTTAGGTAATTAGGTTATAATAGGAGGTCATACTATGTAAGCTCTTAAATTAATTAGGTAGAAATATTTTATATTGATAGCGAATGGCACAAGCCGAATATTATCATTTGTTTTCTAATAAATAAATAATTAAGTAAGTATTATCGTTTATGTTACGAAAACTGTAGTCTTCGTGCCATATAGTAAGTGTAGTTAACAAATAAAAAATTGTGACATTAAAAAGAAGTAACTTAAATTGAAGTATATTCAAAAATTTAATAGTATTCTTTTAAAATTATTAAGTTTAATTTAAATAAAGTCTTGTGACCGCTAATATATACGTTTATACTTCCTGACAATCATATATTTATATATCTCATGTCATATTATTGCATTAATATATCAGAAACAATTAAAAATAGCATAAAGAACCCATTACATAAATTACAAGTGACAGCACGGTATTTCAGTTTCCTTGTCTGTCTCTTATAAAAGTTATTTGCTAGAACGAGAAAGACAGTGTGCAGACAGCACGGTATCATCGAGGCGATAGGCAACGCATGATCTTTCTCGCTCTATCAAAAGGCGGTTCTGACGAGGGATCATTCTGAACCCAATCGCCAAGCACCATTTATATGAGTGTATACAAAACGTGTAAAGTAAACGAGTAACATAAGGCGGCTACAAATTTCGAATGCAACATCGCTAATGGTTCAGTTACCATGGTCGACGGGGTCAGCACGGGGAGTCATTGGTAAATAACACAATGACCGCACAATAAAAGCGAGTCATAGAAATCACCCCGCACACGGACCTCATCGACCAGTATAAAAGAGTAATAATGGATAAACCATTTTAATAGTTTCACTTTGTACAACAGAGATTTTTGGTCTAAAAGGAATCTCTCGTTACAACAGAATCTTTCAAATCAACCATAATTACGAAAGTAAAATTAGTCTCAAATTAGTGCACCTAAACATAAGTTTGTTTATATTCACAGCCTAAAAACATTCAGACTTCAAATAAACTCGAATTTGGTTAAAGTTCAACAACAGAATGTACATACAATAGAGATAAACATGGTTCGATGAAACAAAAATGAATTCATATCAAAAGAGGCCAAAGTATAGTTTAAATATAAACCTAGAGCAGGCGATATAAAAAAAATATATAGTGTGTACTGTTAAGCGTACAATTACAATTAATCTCGTTTGTGATAGGTATAGATATTGACAGTTACTTGACAGTACAGCCTTAGAAGTCAGTCGAACGTTGACTCCAGTCTCAAAAATCAGACCAATGCTGACTTTGCTCTCAAAGATTAGCCCAACACTGACTTAGAAGTCAAGTCAGTCCAATGCTGACTCACCTCTCAAGTCAGTACAACGCTGACTTCGCTCTCAAAAGTCAGTCCAACGCGGTCTCCTCTCCCAAAAGTCAGTATAATATTGACTTCACTCCCAAAAATAAGTCAAACGCTGTATCTGCTTTCAAAAGTCAGTTCAACGCTGTCTCCGCTCTCAATAGTCAGACCGATGCTGACTTAGCACTTCGAATTAATTCCAACGCTGACTTCGCACTTAACAAATGCAGCTTCCATCGCCTAGTCCCCAGTTAGAAACTGTTTCGATGTCTTTTCGGCAGGACTTGCATCACCGATACACATATATACGCGCGTATCGTTTAATCACACCTTCGTTCACTTTTCACACACACAAAATTATTTTAATAAGGCAACCGCTAGTAATATTTTATAGTCCGTGTTGATATCGCAGCAGATATATTCGTTTGTTGGAGGCAGTACTGCGGGGGCGGCGGGCCCACAAGCCCTACGTATCTCTGTATAAAAGAAAATAACTGCTATAGTATACAGATTGTAACATTAATAACGGTCAGTATAGGAAATGTCATTAATTTTAGTGAAAGGAAAAAATACATTTATTATATTTTATCAATTTCGCATTCACAATGCTATATTGAAAAACATTCTTAATGAAATATGCTTAAAAAATGAATAGATCAAGTGGATTTTTAAGCATTTTTCATTTAGAAAACTTACATTATTTTTACTTAGATACCGATTATGTAAGTTTTAAGTTGATGTAACTATGAAACATGATATTTAAAATTAATAAAATGCATTGTTATTTATATCCTTAAACAACTGGGCTGTCCCCGTCGGTAAGCGAGCCACTCAGCTACTAGGTTATCATAATAGGGGTGTAGACAACTTTTTTAAAAATTATTATTTTTACATGAAATATATCTGTAAAAAGTGTAATTTATATAATAATTTAAAAGTAAGAAATAAATTTAATTTTTAAAATTTTCCGCGAAATTGCTACATCTGTTATGCCATCGCTGACGTCACGGTAGCCCTCTGAAACTAATATCGTTCTATGTACGCATAAGGTTGAATTATCTATGTTGTGCTATGAGTAAGAAGGCGCTGTTTGCGGTCACGTGACAACGACTATAAAATATTCGTTTTTCATATTAAATTTAAGCAATATTATAATAAGCATACAAGTGTGATTATCGATAATAGTACATTAAACACTACCAAAAAAATAATATGTATTTATTTTCGTTAACTGTCTACACCCGTATTCAGATAGTAAATGCAATCCTCGGAAATAATTAAGTGATTTAATAAAAGCTCATCTCACTTCTTATGGTTGATCCTATTAGGCGTGCTGTGATTAGAATGTGAACTGTCGCTGATCTCTGAACTGGAGCTTCTTATGTCGCCCTCCATCTAAAACGATAACATAAATAGTTCAAATATTAAAAACGATCTTCGCCTCGCTCATTCCTTATATCTGTTTCAAACTTTTAACTCTTAAATAATAAAAAAAACTCAAGTGATTTAAAATACAGACAGATTGAGTGTTGACGCCATCTTACAAATAAAGCAACCCTAGCTAGGTGGAAATATATTTAAAAAATGATACGGCGAATTAAAAGCCGTTTTATTGAACGTTCGTCATGCTATGTGTACTGACACAATATAGAAACGTTCATTTTCTACAACGCTATACTATCGAACTCGGGACATCAGAGATGCAAAACCGGATCTGGGGTGGAGAAAGGGAGCAAGTGGGGGCACTTACCCCATGCGTCAGTGTTAGGAAAGCACCAACATCATTATAAATAATTCGATAAAAAAGACACGACTTATTATATAAAAATGTTAATGCAGCTGTTAACCCGTGACTTCGGTGCAAATAAATAGACACCGAATCTTTTCTTTAAAATATTCATACAGATAAAATCTAGCCTGACGGGGGAAGGGGAGAGCACTATATCAATTTCTGCTCCGGTTGGAAAATATCCTATAACCGGGACTGCGGAGATACAAAGAGATACAAAGACGTTGAAACCGACGTATTAGCCATTCGGCCATGAAAGATGACTGGTACTGACCTGTCCAGCGTTAATAGCCTTGTACGCCACCTGCAGGATCAGCCACGTCCACACCACGTGCAGCAGGAGCAGGAAGCACAGCATCGAGTTGAAGATGTAGTACGCCGGGAACATTGGCAGCAACATCGGCGCGCGGATAGACGTGCTGGACACACAAACACTCACACTAAAACATTACTACAATACACGAGGCAGTGCCGGACTAAGGGGCGGGGGGACGAAGAGTGCCGTCCACCCCGGGCCTCTGATTCTGGGGGCTACATGACTGCAGAGGGAACAGCATATTAGTTACATAAAAATATTGACTGAACTGATTTTATATATTTTTGACGTGCTGATATTAAAACTGTAGTCAGATTTTTTGTAAGGAAACTTTGATTTTCAAGAAAAAATAGTGCAATTAAAGAAAATAATCACCACTATTTATAAAGTTCACCTAGATCTCAAAGACTATTTTTAAAAGTTATATTAAACAACCGTGGGCTGTCTTCATGTGGGCATTCCAGTGACCATTCTTTATAGTCCAAAACCTTGATAGAACCATACCGTTTGTTCGTCATATAGATGATTACAATTTACGGGGAAACGTGCCAAGTTGGTAGAGGAGGAAACTTAGTTACTGGAAGTGTGGAACCTGCTCTACGGAGCTTTCATGCTTTTTGTTTCCAGGAAATTGTACGCTATCCTAATGAATTTATTCCAGGCATCTTATTAATATTAGTCAAGTAATATTAGTCTGATGATTAATGTGTTAAGGTCTCTCAGTGTTAAATCGATTCACGGAGGAGTGCTCAGAAGAAATATCTGAATTAAAATTAGCCATCACCTTTTCATTATTTGCAAATAAGTTTTTTTCTGATGATTTTGTACAGAAAGAAGATATTTATGGTAATTACTCACCATCAGAGCCCAGGTCTGGTGGAGAAATAAATAATAAGTCAGGGCTAATCATTCGGGCCCGTTTATTCTGTTTATCCCGTTTATATCGACCACGCAAAAATGACAATAATTTTAATGATTGCTAGATTCCCCTCAGATCAATGTTCGATACCTACTTGAAATAGGGTCTCCTTTTATTCGCCCAAATTCTCAAATTTCTTATTTTAAAATTCATAAGGCTTCTAATGTTTGTCACGTGTGACCTAAAGAAATCTTTATTAAACCAACTTAAAGAAATACACGCAAAATCAAGTTTCTGCCCCGGTTGGAAAAAGTTGTCGATCCGGGCCTATTGCCTCCCCGGGCCTCCGATGAGGTTAGTCCGCCACGGACACGAGGTAACTTTGTAGTAATTGCACAAAGCTTTTCCTAATGTTTAAAATCATTAATAGAACATAAAATTACAACAAAATATTTATTGTCATTGTCGGCCCTTGGATGATCATGCGGCATGATATGCGTCTACGTGATTATGCTGCATGATGGACTAACATGCATCATATAAATCAATTTTTCTCAGTCACTTCTGTGTTTTCAGAGATAATTTTGACAATATCTTGAAATAAAAGATAATCAATCTTTATTCACTTTTAATGAAATCAGTTTTAAAAAGGTTGTTGCATGTTATGTAGATCTGATGACGATCATGGGTGTTTTAGAAATACGTCATAGAACAAATAACGACGTATTTATATATGTTTTTCACAAGAAGAGAGTAATTGAAACTAGTTCCAAATTAACCAAAACTTCCAGTCGCCGCACTACTTATCCAGTGAAGATAATTTTTCCATTTCCTTATGACGACATAAACGGGCATATATGTATGTTTACCACTCACCTCCATATGATATAGAACGGATATATCCACAGTCTGGTTATGATCCAAACGATTGTGAATATTGCGAAAATGACGTCACACAGCCGCTGATAGTTGGCGTACTTCGCTGCTTTTGCCGCCTGCAACAGATTATAACAAGCGTAATTTTCATGGGTCTATTTAAGGGCCTCTTGAGCCTAGGGCCAAAAAGGCCATGGCCTGGTTCTACCAAGTTCAAGCCCTGGTTGATCTGGTCAAATCGACAGTTATTCTGTCAAAATGACTAACATTTGATCTGTCAGTCTGAAAAATCATTCATTCGTAAGGATCGGGCAAACAGTACGTATTAATTTTTTTATGGTCTTTTCAGCTTTTTCGATGATGATTATAATTTGAAAATGATACAGTTTTCCGTTCTTCCTACAATCTATGAAGCAGCAAAACCAATCGCAGAGGTTAAAAAGAAAAAATCTGACTTACCACAAGGAATATATCAGCGAAATCGTGTATCAACAGCACGAGAGAGCCTATTCTGTGCAGGTTACATATCCAGCTGAGGGTCAACAGCAGGATGGTGGCTATGTGATGAATGAACATCTGCCAGAAGTCTTTGCGGCGCACGTCCCAGAAGTGAGACATGGTAGCTGACCAGTAAAATGCCGCTGATATCATGTAGTACCACCAGGTGTCCGGCGTGATTCCCTGGAAATTGAACACAAAATTATGATGCAGAAAATTTCAACTAATATGGCGTATGCAGGGCCAGATCTAAAGGCGCATGCGAAGTACGTACGTACGTACCCAGGTACCAGTGTGAGGGGTAATACAGTTAAAAATAGAACGAGTTTTACAAAAATGTCTTAGGAATCCAATCACCAAAATTTTGTTTTAAATTATTCGTATAAAACTTGACAAACTACGTAGAAAACCCGTTCTCTAAAAAAAATATAAAAGTCAAAGAAATCGCATGAGATTTTTCCACGACTGCCCTCATAAAAGGAGACTATTGTTTTGTTAAGTTTGAACTAAAAAAATATGAGCACGGTCCGTAAGTCTTTTTTTTTATCATAACGAATACGATCTTTTAGAAGTATTTACAATCTCATTAAAAAGTGAATACCATCCGAATTACGTCATGCCACAATGATATTTAAAGTAAACAAGTGCTTAACTAATCAAAACCAATGTTTCATATGCATATAATGGCACAACGATTGATAAAATTAAAAATTCTAAATAAAAAGAATTCTCTATATTAAATTAAGCCTATGTCTCGAACATTGATTTAAAAAAAAACTTCAAAATCTCAACACTGATAAATGACATAACACTCGGAATCAAGTGTATTTATTAACATCGGTATGAACAACAACGACTCACAATAAAAATGGCTGCACGTGGGCATGTATTGAAGGATTTAAACATCGATACAGTATACTACTACTATATAATATACACTTATATATTATATAGTAGGAGTATAGTATATTGTTTGTTTATGGCATGTTACGGCATGACAATCCTGGAGTCAGAGACAACTTTTACCTCGAAAAACATCTCATTTCCTTTGGTCACTCGAGTGAATCTGCGTGTAATACTTAGTCAAACATAAAAACGATCATTTCATTTACAATGACAATTGAAAATATGAACATTATTAGGAGAGGCGGACGGTCACATACCGAGCGTAATGGCCGTAGCAATTGAGACCAGTAGACCACCAATCTCTTCACACATCAGTAATTAATTTAATTGGTCCATTTGTTAAGCATGTAGTTGAATTTCATCGGCATTATATATTTTGTCTATTACAACTTAAGACTCGGAAATTGCTCTAAGAACAGCACGTTAAAAATACACAGAAGAGCCATTATATTTTCTCGAAATTGTTGTGTACCATATACCAGTTTTTATAAGTTCAAATAAAAAAAACTATATCTCTACTTATTTGGGAATAAAACGTGTACATTCTTAGTTTAAACGCTTTTTGCCGCGGTATTATCCGCCAGTGGAGAAGTATTCAAGCCACTTTTAGACTGGTTTTTAAGCACTTAAACTGTCATTGTATTTATCTACTGATATATCAACAGTTTTAGTGTCGTGACATTAAGTCATTAATATACCCCAAAAATAAGGGATCCAAGAATACTACCTTGTGGAGTTTCACAAGGTAGTATTCTTGGACCTCTTATTTTTAGTTTATAATTGATAATTTTTACTTATAGACTTTTATTATTGCATTCTGATTGCTATATATATGAGTAAATTTCTCAGATAATTAAAACGACAATCTACAGTGAGACCGCCTATAGATTTTTAAGACGGTTTATGGAAAAAGTAGTGCGTGGCAGCCTGCAGGAATGCATAAATATAAATAAAATTTTTGGTTGAAATGTATACTTTCGAAGGGCTCAAAACTTTTAGATATCAATTACCTGGTGTGGGTAGCCAATGTAACACTGATCAATGTCCCATAGACAATCTTTATCCCACATCACGAACAGGCCATAGGAAAAACTGAACACGTAAAAGGTCATAAGCCAGAGGTTCTCGCAGAACTTCACCAAATTGGACGGCTTGTCCTGGCTGCGCCGCAATCTCCACCATCGTTCCACCTGTCTCTCAGTTAGGTCTACTTGTTTAGACAGCGCTATTATCTGGAAATTAATTTGAGAATTACAAAACATCAACTTTTATATCTTAAATGTAAACACTTCTGTAATAGATATTAACTAAGAGTGGTGTTCGGCATTTTCCTGATGCTCCATCTTTCTATTGCAAAGTTCCATTGCGAGCCTAGTATCAATTTATGTTTGGCAGTTTTTGGACTTTAACGTAATTATAGCGCGTCAAACGCAACTTTTTTGACACAGTTCTTACTTTATAGCAAAATACAAAAAAGGATGTCATCATTCATTCATCAAGACGCTATTGCACTAATATATAGCATTAGATTAATAATGAAGTAGGAAAATACAATTACTGAAACGCTGTTTGAAGTGCCATTATTTCGTTAACATTACCAAAATCAAGAGCCTGCTTTGAATCCAAAATTTGATCTGCTATCGCTAGGCCCTCATTCCAGCTAGTTGTGGTAAGATAAGACAGAGCGACGGAAAAATGCCTTATATTTAATAGCTTTAGCAAGGGTCCTATCACGAACTCTTTGTGCAATAATGGACAAAGCTGGATAGTGTTATTAGTAATTAGGGACGGCGCAAAGCTGACGGAAGATCCATCAAGCGTATCACGGAAGGTGTGAAGTGTGCAAGACTGACAGCCAGTTGTACCAACGTCCATAAATAATTTTATTAGTTTAAAGCGACTTTATCCATACAAATTTGACATTCACCTAAAGGCGTCATTAAACCTTAGTGGACGTTTCTGTAACTGAGCGTGAATGTCATAATATATATTTTTTAGTTCTGATGTTCCACAGTTGATATTCCGTCAGATATGCACTAACCCTTATTGTGTGCAGTGTAGAGGTATTTCAACAGTGATGTTAGCATCACGATAAGAGGTCATGGTAACATCCTGGGCTAGCGCTGACTGACATTCTCAAGACAAAAATCTATTTTAACTCGTGTTGTATATGTTTAAAAGATTTAAAAGATAACGAATTCATATTCAAGGATAATTCCAAATTATGGACTAATATGCTTAAGGTTTAATACACACTTTATTGTACTGCATAGAGGTAGCTTTTAACCATGTGAAAATAGTTTTTCGTTCGTTCCCGTTCTGACTAACGGACTTTCTTCACGAGTGAAAGGAGTAGGATGACGTAGATTTGCTGAAGCATACGTGTTAAATACAGTGGTTAGTGTCGATTATAGGAAAGTGTAAATTTTGTCGTTATAGTACAGTTGTACAACAATATGTGTCGCCGAATTCCGTGTTAAATTAAATTACGCTAAAAATAATATCATCAATTCTGCGTAATTTGATCTACCGTAGGAACTAGTAACAGATAAGGGCACGGCTTAGCAAGTGACTAATTCCATTATTAACCAATTTTATCTACGATCACACACATTTATTTTATCATTAATAGTAGGACCACACTTTCTGACATATGGCACGTTTATCGACGAAGTATTTTAATCTGAAGATTGTTTATCAGTAAATAACGCGTTGTTCAAATCAATAAATAAGAAACAGACTTGCACATGATTACAGATTGATCACTATAAATAGAAATTCTAATCACATTAATAATAATAAAGCCAAATTATTAAAACAAAAAACTTTACAAATACAAATGGTAGGACCCTCCTACCATGATATTATTTACGTAATGCAATTGCAATATTCAAAACAGAATGGTATTTCACTTCAACAACGACTTGTGCATTGCAGTTAAGATTTTACTGAATCACAGACGTCATATTAAATGAAATATAGAGTATATTCTCTCCTAATTCTTAACTTGATTGTGTTTTATATTTAAACACAATTTTGGCGAAACACAGCTGTTGTAAAAAAAAATAGAAGCAAAGCTGTTCAGTGTTTATACACGCAGAAAACAAAATTTATAAAAATAATCAAGTTAAAAGGATCTATAAAATTTTAGGAAAGTGAGAAATGAACAGAAGGCAATAAAAAAGTGACATACTTTGTTATCTGTTCCTCCTCGGTTTCCTGTCTAGTGTTTACACTTTCAATAAAACGTCGAAATATTTAATGGAATCAGACGTTACCTCAACTACGTTGCTTTTTCCGTCTACTCACATAAGAATAACAGGAATATTAAAAGACTAATGGGTTTCCGTAACATTTTTAAGCGACATTGATACTTTGGAAACAGCCAAGTTTGCCCTTAAATATATAAATATCGCTCGACTCGACTGAATCAGCCTTACATACAACCTTATAAAATGTTTCGATGAGGACATAGACATAATGTTTTATTTACTTTATTTTTATTGCTCTAAATCACTTTTCAGTTAATGAGTAGTTATTTATGAATAATGATTATTTCGTTTAGAGTAGTGTATACCTATATATTTAATTGGGTTCCTTCTTACGGTACTATAAATAGGTCAAACCAATTACTAGCCACATGAGGGAATTCTACACATTCACCAAACTTCCTGGACTCGACCCACTTTCGAGCACTTTGGAAACACTTTTAAAGATCATTCATGTGTTCAATTCACATGTCGCTGTAATTATTTTGATATTGTCAGATTATCATACAATGCTGTACTGTACCTAACCATTTATACATTATAGATTTATCGCAGCCAAGTGGTTAAATAAGCCGTCCAATTGGGCAGCTAGCCCTTTAATTTAATGGCGGCATTCAATTACCAGGTTGAAATTCGGTCAGCCGACTGCACGCAACGTTATACATTACGGCTGAAATACTTAACTATCAATTCATCGGGAATACCGAAGTGGTGTAGTTTCGGTAGTGAAAAATAAGTCATAAAATTGGACAAAAACTAAATAAACATAAAGATTCTGATTCTACATCTAAAATCAGACGATTATCGTAATGTCTTAGTCGTGATTTTTTTGTGTGTGTCACGCCCGCCATTGTGTGACGTCACTGTGGTGACAACTGTGAGACTAGTCATAAATAAAGTCTAATGAGGAAGTATTAAAAAAAAGAAAGCACTAAAAAGCACCTCCACTATATGGCGATTCTTGCAAAAGATGGTTTTTGCAGGAAACGAATGGACCAAAGATAGTAATTTCCGTGCCTTTTAACTAATGGTTGTCATGGAGAAATCAAGAAAGTACCGTAGCGTTATCAGTTTGATTTGTGGGAACTATTTTTTTAATACTACCCTATTTATTTCAATAATTAGAAGTAATACAAAATAAATAGTGTAGAGTGGCCGAATTTAAATAAAATTCAGAAATTTTACTTGTTACAATCGATTCAGATATGACAAAAAGGATGAT